TTAATTTGTATCACTTGATCCTAAAAGTCCTCCAATGATTGGTCTTTTAATGTTGATTTTCTTAAATATTGACCTCTACATAGCTATATGAATCTAGACATCTTTCATTTTCATCTGAATGGTTTGGAGTCGAGTTCAAGATGGTTGATTGACTTATTTCAATTGAAGACATCAATCGGTGTCGAACGTTCTCGAGTTGATTCATGCAACTGTAAGGCTTGGAATTCATCGTGTGTGAGTGGTGAAAAGGAGATATTGGTTGTTGACTTTGGTGTTGGAGGTCTGGTTGAGTTTTGTTTTTGGAGTCGAGTTGCCGGGAACAAGTCGTGATGTGTGATACCGCATGCGTTAGCCAATTGGTAAATTTACCGATTCGCTAACGCAAAATGACCGAAAATTAACTACCGCGGGGCTAATTTTTCACCGGTGTGGAAAAGACCCCGCGTTTGCGGTAAATTTAACCTTACCGCACCCGACTTACCGCACGAGTGCGGATGCTCTTAGCAAATCTTCTTAAGGTATGAATGAATGTATGGCTGCTGGTGATGTAACTACTTTGGCGGTCTATATAAAGGCAAAGATGAGTTCTTTAAGAGCATCCACTATGGTGACGATGATTTATCGTAATTTTTGCGTTCCTGAACGCGAAATTTGATCATGCGTGAAACAGCTAAGTTGGTAAACGCCTGAAATCCACTATCAGGTGCTTTACGATCTGATTTAACAACGATAAATCACTGTAGATCAACCAGATCCACAGTGGTCCAAATTTGAAATAAATCATCGTATCTTTTCCAAAAAGTTCATCCAAAAATCAAACGTTTCATTATCACGATGCCTGCTTCTTTGAATAGACAGATTCACCGCCTTTTGAGATCCTCAAATGACGATGAAGAACAGCAAGAATATGACCAAATGGTCTTTGATTTCTTGTTCAACAAACCTGACTCACCGCCTCCACCTCCTCACACTCGCATCCGAATTGATCGAGACCGCGAACAACGTGCTCAGAAGTTATATGATGACTACTTCGCACCGAATGCTACATATGAATCCAGGTTCGAACGTAGATTCCGAATGAGTAAGACCCTCTGTTTAAGGATTATTGAAGATTTACAAGTATATGATCGATTCTGGGTTCAAAAGCCAGACACCTGTGGTGTGATGGGTCTCACAGTCTATCAGAAAGTAGTATGTGCTTTGAAACAGCTCACACTCGGAATTCCGGCAGATGCCACCGACGACTATGTTGGTATC